AAGGAAAAAATATATATATATATGTATATATACTACTTCGAGTTGAAGGTAGAACGACGCGTTAGTCATTAAGCAATTTAAGACGCAAAGACCTTTTAAAAGTGCGAAACGATGGTTGAGCAAAAACCAGACTGTACTTATTCAAAACACATGCCGTGTTATAACTAAAAGACCTCTTGAACAATTGGGCACGATGACGAGGAATGCTAATGAGAACAACTTTATAAAGAAAACAACCAAAATGTAACTGACGACGACTTGACATATTCAGCCACTTCAACTCCCCCAGCTTATACGATAGTCTCTGATATCAGCGTATACCAAACATAAAGAGAATACAAGAATTCTTAACTACGTGAATACGTCGCGCATCAGCAGTCAACAGGCAGTGACCGTAAATTGTGTCATAGTATGTAAAATTGGCTAAAATTACAGACTCACAAATATTCTTTTTAACATCGATGTTCAAGACTTGTCTATGAGCAAACAGAATTTTCAATTTTGCGTAAGCACGCCTGATCAGCTCACTTATGTTACGGGTAAACCTTAAGCTGTCGTCAATGTAAAGTCCAAGATCTTTGACACAGACCTTCCTCTCCAATTCAATTCCATGTATAAAGATAATGACCATATTGCTGACAAACGCTTTGGAGTAATATTTAAAAATTTATCTAAAACACTGTTTACATCTGCAACAGATTCTAGCACATTATTTGAGTTAAAGCTGTGGTAAAGTTGTGCGTCATCCGCATAGATATGAAATTTTGAGCAGAAGCGGTCAAAGATCAACATTTGAGATGTATAGATAGTGAACAAAAGGGGACCCAATGTAGAGCCCTACAGCACACCAGACCTCAATACGGCTGGATCCGACACATCATTATCAATAACTACATACTGACTTCTCCCGTACAGATAATTATTAAAAAAATGTAAGGCTGTATTATTGAACCCAATGCAATGAAGAATTGCTAAGAGAAGTTTATAATTAATAGTGTCAAACGCTTTAGAGAAGTCAAGTAAAACCAAAACAGTAGGCACGTCATTGTCCGTTGCAGACATAACATCATCAATAATTGTCGAAAGTGAGGTTGCACAACTATACCCAGGCCTAAATCCTGATTGGATGGAGGGCAGAATATGAAAGCGTTCCAAGTGGTCACGTATTTGATCCGCCACGACCCTTTCCAATTAATCCATCAATTACATTACAAAATAAATTCAACTGGTTTCACAAGACATTAATTACAATACATAACAACGCGTGTCCCACAAGGAACATACAACAATCCAAACCGAAAAAAACATGGATAACCGACAGAATAAAACAGATGAGTATATCACTAAAAAAATCATATAAACGACAAAAAAGAAACTATCGTCAACGCGTTTATGACGCAAAAAAATTATACAACCTAAATAAAATTGAAAACTCTACAAATAAAAGTAGAGCGATGTAGTCAATTGTTAATGAAAAGCGAGGGAAAAGAAGACCAGACCAACGAATCACACTAGAAAATGATGGTGCGGAGGTTTACAACGAATCCGAGGTATCAAAATTATCTGCCGAGAATTTTGCGAATGTTAGTATATATTAGTAATACACAAATAAATCAACATTTTAAAGGTAAAGTGTTACACAAGCACAACAATTGAACTGTAACCTTTTACAATTTTTGTGAAACCGGTGTGCGCGGAAGATATCATAAATGTTATTAAAGACTTACGTAACACAAAAAGTGCCGGACCAGATCGGTTCAACGTTCTAGTACTGAAGGCCATAGCTATAACAATACAACGGCGAAACCCATTAGCGAACTTGTAAATCTGTCAATTAGCGAAGGTGTATTTCCCAATATAATAAAAAAACTCTGTTGTTATCCAAATCCATAAAAAGGGTCTGTTCTCGGAAATTTTTGAGAAAACCGTAATCCAAGTTAATATTGAATGATTTTCAACAGGGATTTAGAATTGGTAGATCAACTGAAGCTGCATGTGTAGATTTAGTGTCGGTTATCTATAAGGCTTCTGATCAAAAACAAAAAACAGCAGCATTATTTTTTGACATGTCTCGTGCATTTGTAGTAATTTCTAAGTTATCGTACGTTCTATCTATCGGTTCGAGGCGTAAAATCCGACGAATATAATGTGGCTGAAGTTAGATTCATATTCCAATTTGTACCAGATTCATAAAATTATAGTTGACCAGACAAGTATTGAACATATCAATTGAAAAATCGTTTTCTGAAACTACAGAAGTTGTAGCAATCTGCGACTACGATGGATAATTTGAATAGATCCTCTAATATGTTCCCTGTCCCCTCGTAATACCCTCACCCCTAGATTTACGTAGAGGCAGAGTGATGAATATTTGAATACTCATCGATTTGAATAGCTAGGTTAAAAATTATTTTCTCAACAACTAAGGACTGCAGCACCCTGGGACTAGTGTAGATTATTGCATTAGGTCCTCTGGTATACTTCTAGCCCACCCAAATTTGCCGTAGGGACCGAAATGTGAACTTTTTAACACGTTGACTGCCACGGCATTTTTCGGATTCCGGTCCGAGAAGCCAAATCGATTTAATCATATTATATTATTAAAAATCCTAATTATGATTTGTAACAATCATTAAAAAGTTTACAGGATGTTTTTTTTTTTTGTAGAAAAAATGGTCCTACGAATTATCTCGCAGTCGGCTTTTGTTAGACAAAGCTCTTCGCAGAAGCCCACTACGAGTTGATTCGTCTTGCGATCTTCGATTCTAGGTTCATCGTAATGGTCGAAAGAAAAAATTTGAGAAAACGATGAAAATATATTTATTAAAAAATATTTAAGATCAGTGCACCTACTTTCGGGAGTAACTTGTCCCTTCTTCTGGCACGACTGAAATGTACAAATTATTTGTTATTATTAAAATTAACTAGATAATAGGATGTTAATATTTACCGTCAAATTACGAGATATTAGTCAGAGAGTAAAATTCATGCTTCGACTTGTTCGAAGCGCTAAGCCAGTAAGTTCTTCAGTGTTAAGTCAGATCTTGACTCGTAAACATTACATATTGGTCGATTTTAAATATTTTTGTGTCTATTTGTTTGCAATAGAATAATAAATATAAACATACTAAACAATGGCAAGGAAAAGATCACTTACTGAAGCCGAACTATAATTTGCCGAATATTTTGCTAATCTAAGTGAGTCAGAATGTGACGAATTTTTTGTTGAAGATGGTAACAACACTAGTGATAATGAAGCCGTCTCAGATGACACAATAGTTGAACAAGATTGCAATATAGATGCTCCTCATGCAACCACATCAAATACCAATGATAATTTGTGGACACAAAATCAACAAAATCTTGAAATATTTATTTTTCAAGAAAATATTGGTTTGAAATTAAATACGGCAAATTTCACAGTGCAAAGGCTTGTGGACTTATTTTTTTCCAACGAGTTTCTTCCATTACTGGTCGAACAAACGAATTTGTATGCTGCACAAGAAATTGCAAAATATGGTCTAACAAAATCTAAAAGACTATCACGTTGGAAAGACGTTGACACTGCTAATACAAGGTGCGACCTATTCTAAATCATTTCAACAATATTATGCGCCAAAGCTATGTGCCAAATAAAAACATTTGTATCGACGAATCAATGATGTTATGGCGTTTGTGAGTCTGATGGTATTGTTCTCAAAATTAAAATTTATAGCTGAAAATCTGAAGAAAATGAACATAATTTAGGTCACATTACTGACGTTGTTTTACATTTACTTGAGGACTATCTGGACAAAGGATATACAGTCTACATGGATAATTTTTATAACTCTGTTACTCTTGCAAATATATTGACTACACGAAAAACTTATGTGTGTAGAACGCTACGAAATAATAGAAAAGGAAATCCCAAGGATGTTCTAAATCGTAAACTAAAAAAAGGAGAGATATTTTGGCAGCGAAATGGTAATGTTACTGTTTGTAAATGGAAGGACAAGCGAGAAGTTCTTACCATTTCAAACAAGCACGTTGTTGAAATAGTGGAGGTGGCCAATAGAAATAAAAATATTTCGACGAAACCGAACGTTTCTTCCTTCATTCTCCTCTTCTGACTCATATTCGTCTTCGTCTTCTGCCTCGGTCGCCTTTACTTTCTTGATTCTACACATCTTTAACGTATGCCCCATTTCATTACAAATGTAGCATTTACAATCTTTTGTCGGACATTTAGCAACATCATGGTTTCTTCCACAACGATGACACGTTTTAAATTTTTGTTTCCAATCCTTTTTCTTTCTCCCCTTGAATAACATTCACATCCTGAGAATGTATTTCTTTTGTTTCACGTTCTGCAATATCATAACTAGTAGCAAGTTGCGTAATTTTCTCCAACCTTTCAAATCCTCTCAAACAACGCAAGCAGCTTCTTCGACGCTATCTTGTCATCTTGAAAATATTCATAACTAGAATCAATTAGAGTTATATCAACAGTTACTAATATGTAAAGGACCAATGAAAAACTGTTGACCTTTTGGGAGTGCTGACTTGGTTCTTTTTAAATCCTAGCATGTGCAAATTTGCCCACCTGTAGAGTAATATATTCTTCTTTTTCTGATTTAGATCACAAATTTCTAAAATGTTTTGTATTTTACTTATCTATGTACTTAGCTTAAAATGATTACATAAAGAAATTAATAACAGCCTTTTTTTGTTCATATCATCATCTGTCACCCGTTTCTAATTTCGTATCACCTCCAAAATATTAATTAAACAAAACAAATTAGTCACCCACTTTCCTGGTATGTATTATCTTTTTTTATGAAAATCATCATCTGTCAGCTATTTTTTATTTCGTTTCACCTACAAACAATCAATTAGTAATGCCATGAAAATTACTACTCTTGTTATTTTTAATTAAAGTACCACTTAAAAGCTTTATCATGTGTATATATATATATACCCATATTACATAAAACAGATTCACAATAAAATTATATTGAAAGCCAAGGCTAATTCAGCCTATCTTGTTCTATAACGGTAGCCCGGTTATCTCGTTAGGAGATTTTGTTAGTCCCGATTTTACCGTTGCATGACGAAGATGTCTCATCAAGTTCAAACAAAACAAGGTGTTTTAGAAGGAAAAGAAAGAACCGATTTTTTTGGGGGAAAATATTATAGCTTCAGAGGAATTCCTTATGCTAAACCGCCAGTTGGAAAATTAAGATTTAAAGTAAGAAACAATTAATCTCCACAGTAAATGATGACCTCAATTTATTTCTTCAAAAAAATAAAAATAGGCTCCTTTACCTCCTGAGCCATGGAATGGAATAAGAAAAGCTATTGACGAGCAAGAAGGTTGTTATTGTTTCGATACCATGGAAATGAAGATAATTGGAAAAGAAGACTGTCTTTATCTCAATGTTTACACTCCACAAGTAAATTTATTTTAAATTAAAATAAACGACATATTTAAAACAAATTTTTAGCTACCAAACGGTAAGGGATTCACCCCAAAAGCAGTTATGGTTTTTATTCACGGTGGAGGATTCACTTCTGGGTCTCCAACAGAAAAACTTTACGGTGCCGATTATTTAGTAAACCAAAATGTTGTTCTTGTAACAATCGCTTATAGATTAGGAGTATTAGGTAAACTAAAATATACATTTAATGAGATATTTATCTAAATTTATCTTTTAGGATTTTTATCATTAAAAGATCCTAATTTAAAGATACCAGGTAATGCTGGTATGAAAGATCAAGTTATGGCTTTAAAATGGGTTCAAGAGAACATAAAAAGTTTTGGTGGTGATCCCGGAAATGTAACAATTTTTGGTGAAAGTGCCGGAGGGGCTTGCGTTCATTATTTAATAATGTCCCCAATGGCTAAAGGTCTTTTTCATAAAGCCATCATTCAAAGTGGAACCGTTATGGATCCTTGGACAAAAGGGAAACCATTAGGGATGGAGTTTTGTCACTATTTAGACATAGATCCAAGTGATGAAAATGAAATGTTAACAGTGTTGTTAAAAATGCCCGTTGAAGATTTACTAACCGCTCAACTATCAATGAGAGATACAATTCAATGTGACACTTTAAGATATATTGCCCCGGTTGTTGAAAAATCAAAAAAAAACGCATTTTTGAGTGAAGATCCAATCGATTTATTGATACAAGGGAAATATAATAAAGTTCCAATTTTAATGGGTTATAACTCAAAAGAAGGATTAGTTTGTGGGTATTTACCTGGAGCGGTACCACGTGGAAATAATTTAGAAGAGTTCATTCCTTATAATATGCGTTTGGATAGAGGCTCTCACTTCGCTATGACTATTGCAGCCAAATTAAAAGAATTTTATTTTCCCAATGACACCAACATTTCAGGGGATCCACTCTACGATGTAAATAAAAAATTCATATTCACACATCAATTATTATATTATTAATTCATTTTCAGTTGTACACAGACACACTATTTTCAAGAGGAATTTACAAATCATCACTTTACCACGTCGAAACATCCCAAAATCCGGTTTATTTATACAAGTTTTCAATGGATGGCGATCTAAATGTTTTAAAACACTTTATACAAGCCGGAAAAGAACCGGGGGCTTGTCACGGTGATGAATTAGGTTATTTGTTTTCAAATGCTTATAAAAAAGATGTTCCAAAAAATTCGAAAGAATATAAAGGAATTTTGATTATGATTCATTCTTGGACGAATTTTGCTAAAATTGGAAATCCAAATGGAAACGGGGACGAAATAATTAACGTTGAATGGAAACCCGTTACTAAAGACAAAATTAATTTTATGGAATTAGATTTTGATTTGAAAAGTGGCGTTTATCCCGATAAAGAAAGAATGGAATTGTGGAACGAAATTTTTAAAATGAAATCACACACCATGAAATATTAATTTTAAATGCACGTCTTTTGCTTTGTTTTTGATGTACTTTGAATAAACAATGAAGGTTAATCTCGCTTAATATTTCTGTTTCTTCAGATTTTCTTGCAATCATTTCCTAAAGATGGTTTTAGCCACCCCCAAACGAAAAAAATTCGCCACAAGTCAACGCAAATGTGCTCCGCGTATTTGACTACTGCTAATTGCATCTAAAATTACCCTCTATAAGATATGCGTGGCTACATTTTGTTGCACTCATTTCCTAAAGACGATTTTCCCACTCCCAGACGAAAAAAATTCGGCACAAGTAAACGCAAATGTGCTCCGCGTATCTGACTACTGCTAATCGTATCTACAATTATTCTCTATAAGATAGCGTGGCCAGATCTTGTTGCACTCATTTCCTAAAGACGGTTTTAGCAACCCCCAAACGAAAAAAATTCGCCACAAGTAAACGCAAACAACTAATACTAATACTGAATGTAGCAAAAACTCAATGTTTATACTTTGGTAAGGAACAACTTACCACTCCTAACATTAGTGTAGCCACCAGTGTCAGATGTCTCGAGATCTATTTCGACAACGATTTATCCTGGTCGCCGCACATCTACCATATATGTAAAAAAATTGCTCAGTCTTACTATGCTATGTTAAACTTAAGATCGGAGTTACCTAAAGATGCGTTTTTGCAACTGTACTACTCCCTCGTATATTCCCATATTTCTTACGGCATATTACTTAGGGGTAAAGCGCCACCTACCATCAAGAGACTTTTCATTTTGCAAAAGCGCGTAATAAGGTTAATATTTAACTTAAAACAGAGGGATTCCTGTCATCCTGTGTTTAGAAGACACAAAGTATTGACGGTAATTGCGATATACATATATAAATGTTGCATGTACGTGAAATCTAATACCGACAAATTTAAACCTATACCGTCCCACCACGCATATAATACAGTGTGTTAATTAATTATCGTACCCGACGTTATCATTGCAAGTATGCAACCAAATACGCATATCGCGCATTGCAATACCAACACTGTGATATTGGTTGCATACTTGCAATGATAACGTCGGGTACGATAATTACTGTACTAGAAACATCAAGATATTAACTTTAGACTTGCACAACTCGGCATTGTACGAAAACTCGCCGCTCTACTCGTGCGCCAATATATTTAACAAATTACCAAGTGTTGTTAAATCTTTACCTTTGAACAAATTTAAAATTGTTCTTAAAAAAAGGATCACGGAAGCATGCTACTATTCTCTACATGAATATGATAACGATTAGTTTATTCTTTTCTTAGCTTATTATGTACTTATTGTCTACTATATTATGTACTTGTTTTTTTTTACTGACGTACCTTATACTATTGATTGTAGTCTAAAAGAGTAAATAAAGATGCATCCATCTTCAACTTCACATCTTCCACCGCCACCATTACTACCTATAATGGAAATGCTGTGGTTTTAAACACTGGGAATACCGCATTAATGTTGACGTTTCTTTCTTCATTCTCCTCTTCTGACTCATATTCGTCTTCTGCCTCGGTCGCCTTTACTTTCTTGATTCTACACATCTTTGACGTATGCCCCATTTTATTACAATTGCAGCATTTACAATCTTTTGCCGGACATTTAGCAACATCATGGTTTCTTCCACAACGATGACATGTTTCAAATTTTTGTTTCCAATCCTCTTTCTTTTTCCCCTTTACTTGAATAACATTCACATCCTGAGAATGTATTTCTTTTATTTGACGTTCTGCAATATCATAACTAGTAGCAAGCTGCGTAACTTTCTCCAACCTCTCAAATCCTCTCAAACAAACGCAAGCAGCTTTTTCGACGCTATCTTGTCATCTTGAAAATATTCATAACTAGAATCAATTAGAGTTATATCATCAGCAGACAAGATCATCAAAAAGCATCCCGTACAGCCACATGACGGTTCAAAGCTAGCTAAAATAGTTAATCCATTTTTGTGTCATGCACAGCCCTCATCAGAGCCTCGAATTACTCCGTTATTAAACATCTCTACTAGTAGAGAGGTACAAACCACTCATTTCGTGGATATACGGACTGGTTATATTATAATATAACTCTATAGAGGTGGTTCANAAATATTACTTCATGATGTTATATTTTATATGTAGGGTAAGTAACTTTAAATGAATCAGATGTGTATTTGATCATATTTTGATCATTTTATGTAAAGGCAGAGGGATCTACAAGAAAAATAATATGGCTCGGTCAAACACTGACATTAAAAAATCCTTAACAGGTCAAACACTGGTGCGTTTACCCTATTGACGGTAATTGCGATATACATATATAAATGTTGCATGTACGTGAAATCTAATAGCGACAAATTTAAACCCATACCGTCCCACCACGCATATAATACAGTGTGTTAATTAATTATCGTACCCGACGTTATCACTACAAGTATGCAACCAATATCACAGTATTGGTATTGCAATGCGGGATATACATATTTGGTTGCATACTTGCAATGATAACGTCGGGTACGATAATTAATTAACACACTGTACTAGAAACATCAAGATATTAACTTTAGACTTGCACAACTCGGCATTGTACGAAAACTCGCCGCTCTACTCGTGCGCCAAAATATTTAACAAATTACCAAATGATGTTAAATGTTTACCTTTAAACAAATTTAAAATTATTCTTAAAAAAAGGATCACGGAAGCATGCTACTATTCTCTACATGAATATTATAACGATTAGTTTATTCTTTTCTTAGCTTATTATGTACTTATTGTCTACTATATTATATACTTGTTTTTTTTTTACTGACGTACCTTATACTATTGATTGTAGTCTAAAAGGGTAAATAAAGGTGATTTGATCAATTAACGACACACTCGCCCCTGAATCTACATCCATCTTCAACTTCACACCTTCCACCGCCACCATTACTACCTATAATGGAAATGCTGTGGTTTTAAACACTGGGAATACCGCATTAATGTTGACGTTTCTTTCTTCATTCTCCTCTTCTGACTCATATTCGTCTTCGTCTTCTGCCTCGGTCGCCTTTACTTTCTTGATTCTACACATCTTGACGTATGCCCCATTTTATTACAATTGTAGCATTTACAATCTTTTGCCGGACATTTAGCAACATTATGGTTTCTTCCACAACGATGACACGTTTTAAATTGTTGTTTCAAATCCCCTTTCTTTCTCCCCTTTACTTGAATAACATTCACATCCTGAGAATGTATTTCTTTTATTTCACGTTCTGCAATATCATAACTAGTAGCAAGCTGCGTAACTTTCTCCAAACTCTCAAATCCTCTCAAATAACGCAAGCAGCTTTTTCGACGCTATCTTGTCATCTTGAAAATATTCATAATTAGAATCAATTAGAGTTATATCATCAGCATACAAGATCATCAAAAAGCATCCCGTACATTCATATGATCGTTCAAAGTTAGCTAAAATAGTTAGTCCATTTTTCTGTCATGCACAGCTCTCATCAGAGCCTCGCATTACTCCGTTATTAAACATCTCTACTAGTAGAGAGGTACAAACCACTCATTTCCTGGATATACGGATTGGTTATATTATAATATAACTCTATAGAGGTGGTTCAGATTTTAATCGGAAAACTACGAGGTTGAAGTACTTGTCAAAATAACACAGGTTTTGTATATAAACATAAGATCGCAACTCTTTTATATTGGTGTATTATTTAAATATATACAGGGTCATCCACGACGACCGTCCTTTAGAACTTAACAGGGTTCTGGCCAAAATTAAAATTTGAAAATTTAGAATTAAGTATTATCAACTGCGTTCTCTTCGACTAAAATATTTTCAGATATCTAACACTTCCGGTTATACCGGAAGCCGCCACCTACTTTATTTCTTTAAATGGAACACCCTGTATATTTTTACATATTTGGATTTGTCTGTTTTCAAGGTTTATGAATGTCTTTACTTTTTGGAATTTGATTCGGCCGTTCGAGAGTTATTCGAATTTTTCTAGAAAAATCTGCTCCAGCAGACGTTTGTTCAAAAAATCATAGAACACTCGATTTTTGGGATATCAATTTAGGATTCAGAACATGCTTAAGCAAGATGATGGAGTATGTTTTGGTGCCGAGTATGGCTGTCTAGAACGTTTGGTCACTTTACTATGGCACGTTACTTTTTCGAAACTTGGAAGTACCATAACTTAATTTTTTTAAATGGCACCCCCATATTTTATTACTTAGTCGTCTTCGGTGTCTTTTTTTACATCTTTTATATCCGATATGTCCTATACCTAACATTTATAGTTTGGGAGATAATTAGGGTTTTTTGAAAAATGCACACACATATCGTTATTTAACCTAGTGTGTCATGAATACCTAGTGCGACCTAGTGAATAACCGGATGAAGTGGAAGTTACAAAAATTTGTAGACTTGTGATGTTTGATGCCAGCTTTTTAACTAAAGTATTTTCAGGTTCCGGGTACTTGTGGTTACACCGGAAGAGGTGACAATTTTCATATTTCAAATGGAACACCCTGAGTTTTATTACATTTTTCAATCAAAAATGTCAACTACAACGTTACTTTTTATAATTTATAAATCATCTAGTTTACCGCCGGAAAAAAAATTTGGTGTTGTGGAATGTTGTTGTGGTTATGTATTATCAGAGGATCAGTAAGGAAAGAGTAAACAGTTTGACATTTGCTAAAGCTATGGTTTATTTCTGTTGGTGTGATGACTAGGTTACTTTTTGTAGTGATCTGTTCTCAAGAAATGCCACGTTTGGAATTTAGTAATGAGGATTATTTGAATTTGATAATAATTTATGAAGAGTGCA